TCATGCGCCTTCTGCGACAACGCCTCGAAGCATATTCGGCTCTTTGCAGCCAGCAGGCACGCATGCACGCCCGAGGCGGCTGACAAGCTTTGGGGTGCCAATTGCATGGATTGCGGCAGCTGCGTGCATATCGCACATCGGGCTTGCATGACGCCTCCCACTAGTTCAGGCCATACAAGTCCTCAGTCTCAACTTGAGACTGGCAGCGCTTAGCTTTCGGACATGTGGCATCTTTCCGTCCCGAAACCCGAAGTTGAAGACTCACCTCTCCCGCCCCTTGCGCAGACGGACTGTGGTTTCGCGGCCTTGGCGCAGGTTCCTTGGCAACGTCAGGGGGCATGTCATGAATGAGCTGTCAAAAACGTGGCAAGGCCGGAGCAGCCAAGGCCTTTTTGCATGGTGGTCTTGGGGCGGTCGAGAGGCTGCAACTACACCGCCACGCTTACTCCGGGACACGGAGCGTTGTTTGGACGTTGGCCTACTACTCGGCAGCCCGTTGCGCATTGCGCATTCTGTCCAGGATCGTCAAGCATTGCATCTCTAGCAGTTATCCCTGCCATGCCTCGATCACATCGCTGCTGCAAGCCTCCAGTCATGTTCTGCTTCACGAGGTAGCGGATGCAAGTGGTCACATGAGAGGAAAAGCTAACATGCTCAGAGCCGATGCTGCACGGATAGTGTGTGCAAAGCCTTGTGCCCGTGCCCGCATGCTTGTTAATCTGCCATCCTTTGCCGCGCTCCCTTTGCAAAGGCCGGTGACGTCGCGCATTCGTCCAAAACAAGTTGGATAGCGTGTGCAAAGCCTTGCGCTCGTGGCCGCCTGCTTCTGAATTTGCCATCCTTTGCCGCACTCCCTTTGCAACGGCCGGTGACGTCGCGCATTTGTCCAACACATGCCTCCAGTCATGTTCCGCTTCACGGAGAAGCTGGTGCAAGTGGTCACATGATGCAGCTAGCATGCTCAGAGCCGAACATCGAGTGACAGTGCCGCTGCATGGATAGCGTTCGAAAAGCCTTGTGCCCGTGCCCGCATGCGTGCTTGTTAGTTTGTCATCGTTTGCTGCACTCCCTTCGCACAGGCCGGTGACGTCGCGCAGTCGTCCAAAGCGGGGCTTGGCTTGATGCGATTGACGCGAGCGTGCATGAAAGCTTTAACGGTTACACTTCTCCTCCAGACCAGGGCGGGGTCGAATTGCAGAGCTCCCCCTGTTTCGGGTGTGTGTGTCGCTTGAGGACCCATCTTCACGGCTGAAAGTTTGTTCGAGGCGACGTTGATCTTGGAATGCGTTTTGCTGCCTGCCCGAATGTGCAGGCAAAGTTAAAGTTGGGTGAAAAATCACGAGGCGTGACGAGTCCGAAATTCCCATGGCCAAGCCAGATGCACCTGCCATGCAGCATTCGGTGAGCCCGGTGAGTGTAAACGAGCTTTCGTGCGCAGCAGCTGGCCTGACAAGAGGGTCGTGACAAGAGTGCTAAAAGAGGCAAAGCCAGGGGTGTTCGCCCGGATGCCACCTGCCCTTGGATTCTGCCCATCATCGCCTCGCATGTGTCAAGCCTCATCATGCCCACTGCCCAAGAAGAGCATCTGCAGCCACCTGCCAGCGCTTCGCTTTTGCTGGCTCCGGCCAAGAAGGCCCTGGCGCTTCTCGTGCTTTTCGCGCTTTTCGGTGCATCCTTCGAGAACTTACCAAGATGCGGGCCAGTCCAGCAAAGGCAGATTCAGGGGCGCAGAGGCTTGCTTCGATTCCTTTCTAATGCAAGCAGCTTCCCCAGGCCAAAGCTCGAGGTAACTTGATGCTCATGAAGTTGCTACATGGTGGCTTTCTTGGTTTTGAGCCCGACGACCTTGGGCGTCCACCCTTCTGCAGTGTCCGACTTCGGCCACGTGGTGTGTGAGTCATCAGAGGTGACATCAGAGTCTGGTACTTTGTGAGCTTTGCCGAGGACAGCTCTCTGCGGCTGTGAACGCCGGTGGCAAACGTGAAGCTGGCAGCCCTCTGTGCCAGGCATACGAGTCACCTGCCAGGTAGTTGTCACGGCCTCGCTTCCTTGGCCTCATCCATCCTCCCGCCTCCAGTGACTTCAGCAAGCGTTTGCACCAGTGCCCGCATCCATAGCGGCCCAGCAACCTGGACCTTAATGCGTGCACATTGTAACACGAGCTCTTGAGGCAACTTGCTCAGCTTGATAGACGGTATAGATGTTCGGGCGTGAGAAGGGGGAGGGCGCTCTCCCTCGCACTCGCTCCCTTCACTGCTGCAGCAGACAGCCAAGAGGACACAGCCTAACTACTTCGGCTGCAGCCAGGCGCAGATGCCGGGCTCAGGGTCCACTGCTGCGGGCGTGTTTTCGTCGGTGCAGCCTGTGCGGCTGCATACATAGCGGACACTCGACAGTCTGTTGAGCTCTGAGCTTTGCAGAGAACAGCCGAAGCATCCCATGCCAAACGTGGGGCTGGAAGACCTTCATGCCAGGCATGTGATTCACGTGTCAGGTGGCTGTCGCGGCCTCGCTTCCTTGGCCTCGTCCATCCTCCTGCCTTAATCCTCTCTGTAAGCGTTTGCGCCAGAGCGCGATTCCTAGCTGCCCATCCGGGCATGGCGGCAGGCACATCAAAAAACTTCACGAGCTCTTGGAGAAGCTTGCTCAGCTGACAGACATTCCGGCGTGAGATAGGGAGGGCGTTCTCCTTAGCACTCGCTTCCTTCACTTCTGCAGCAGAGAGCCAAGAGGACACAGCCTAGCCACTTCAGCTGCAGCCAGGGCCACATGCCACCCATAGTGGGCGGTACAGCCTGCCGCAGCTTGCCTGGACGCGTCTGTGCACATCTGACACGTGTCACACGCGTTTTTTCTGGGATCTCGTCCCTTCATGCACCTTGTGCTCGGCGAGGCGAGACTTGTGGTGATGCCGCAACGCAGCTTGTGGTGAAACACCTCAAGCGATAGACACCATGAGGCTCGCTTTCACTCATGCCAGCCGGTCGAAACAGTCACTGCATATGTCTGCTGATTGGTTGTGCCGAGGTTTGTGTGGGAGTAGCCGTCACTTTTAGTGATTGCGGTTGGAACAGGCTATCTTCAAAGTTGCTTGCTTTGATGGACTTTTGTGGTCCCGATAGTTTTCAGGACTTTGGGACTTGTTTATTGGACACAAGCGATTCATGGGTTGAAGCCTGTGTGGCATTGACCCTTGCGTATTATTTGGCATTCTCTTCCCTCCCTATTGTAGAACATACGTTGACCTTAACGTTGCACAAATACGACTTGGGTTCCTGTTTGTCGGCGACATACAGGATCTCCAAAACTAGTAAGTTCGTTCTTAATCATTCCCTTGTCGTTTAAGAAGTGGGAGGAAGCAGCTCTTGATACGAACCCTCCTTGTTTCCGCTGCATGAGAATATCTATCTTTTCTTCCTAAGAATTGGTATGCAGGAGAAGCCCTCCTCTTCGTGAGAAACGATGGAATGCTTCGAGTTCTAATGGCAGTCTGATTCTGTGTCTTCATATCTTTGAAGCGTCGACCCTCTCCTCAGATCAGCAGCAGCAGCAGCAGCAGCAGCAGCAGCAGCAGCAGCAGCAGCAGCAGCAGCAGCAGCAGCAGCAGCAGCAAGAAGACCTAATCTGATGTAAACAGGGTTCCGTTGATCTTGATAAGAGAAAGAGATCACACCCTTATCAGGCCTTATCACTATACTCGGTGGATGAGATCTCTTTCGGAAACTAGGCCCCGTTCCGCGTGAAGAGCTGTTTTGATTCTTCTCTGGAAAAGACATGTGTAAGCTTGCAGAAGACAGGCTTATCCCCATGTCTTTTTCAGGAAGAGGAACGGCTTTTTATCTCTTTAAACCACGAAGGCTTATCGCTTCTGCAGCAAGAGGAAGGACTCCTTTTTCGTCGTTTTTGTGGTCGAGGCGAAGGATCCTGCGAAGGAGCCGGATCTTCCGACGAAGGAGGCTGCTGGTGCAGAGGATATCTTCAAGATGCGTGGAGTTTCCTCCTTGTTGCTTCCGCCCGTGAAGAGAGAGCTGGACTTCATGGCAGTTAGTAGACTCCAGTTCCGACCATGAGCCTGCTGCCGCGTTGTCCCGTTCTCGGACACCCATGCCTTCTGGAGCCTAAGGCTGCCAAGCTCGGCCACGGCCACCTCTGATCCCTGCGAAAGAAGGTATGTGGTGTCGCAAGGATGTATGTCGGTGTTCTCTCGGAGCCCTTCGCCTTGAAGAAACGGCCCGATGGCTTGTGGATCACCCGCGTCCCTTCCCAGGCAAAATTTCCCGATCTGGCCGAGCCACATCCTGGCCGACCCAGCTTCCCAGCAACCCGACCTCCCTCCCCTTTGCAAAACAAACAAACAAATACATAAACAATCAAATAAATAACTAAGTCTATATATATATATATATATATGTAGAGGTATATATATATACATACAAGTATCACATGTATGAAACATATGTAGAGATATACAATATGTATTTTTACCTGGAACCCTTGCCGAGGCCCACGTGAAGCAGATGGATGGAGGTTTGAGGAAACCACGCGTGTAAGATCGATTGTGTCCTTAGGTTGAAGACTCTCAGGGTTTAGGGTTTAGGGTTTAGGGTTTAGGGTTTAGGGTTTAGGGTTCTCATGAATTATTTTTCTTTGGGCTTTCTTGATTGCAACTTTCGTGCGTTTCTTACCAGTACCAATCTGATCTGGTGCACTTCTTTTCATGTTGGGTGCTCTCTTCGATCGGGGTGGGGGAAGCACTTATACACCCGCCGACAGAGCAAAATAGATACTGGATACATCAAAACCTCTGAGTTCAAGCCCCTCAACCCTAAACCCTAAACCCTATGTAAACCCGTAAACCGTAAACCCTAAACCCTAACCCTTAAACCCTAAACCCACCTCTTGCCCGAGAACCCACAATTAGCGGAGCCACGCAGCCTCACAGCCACGCAGCCTCAAGCGGCCCGCCCCTTGCCTGAGCTCCTCATGGCTGAGCCCGGCTCATGCAGTGGGCTGCTCAGAGCCCCGAGGGTTGGTTTGGGGTTGAATTAGGGTTTAGGGTTTAGGGTTTAGGGTTTAGGGTTTAGGGTTTAGGGTTTAGGGTATAGGGTTTAGGGTTCAGGGTTTAGGGTTTAGGGTTTAGGGTTTATGGTTTAGGATTTAGGTTTAAGATTTAGGGTTCAGGATTTTGGGCGGGTTAGGGGGGGGTCGTATGACTTTTTTCGTATTTCTTTTCATGGGTGCAGGGCACGCGGTTTCTTTACTGTCTTGATGGTCTGTGCATGTTTAGGAGGTGAGAGGTGTCAGGTCGTAGTTCAAGGCTCGGTTCTACAGTTTAACGTGTAAAGTGCCGCCGGCAGTGGCTTGGGAAAAGCGCACGCTCTTTTCGACAGGACACGCACACGCCCCTTAAGCTTCAAACCCTAAACCCTCAACCCCTAAACCCTAAACCCTAAACCCTAAACCCTAAACCCTAAACCCTAAACCCTAAACCCTAAACCCTAAACCCTAAACCCTAAACCCCAAACCCTAAACCCTAAACCCCAACCCCTAAACCCCCAACCCCCAACCCCCAACCCTAAACCTTCTACGATGGATCACGGCTCCAGGCCGATTAGGTACGAGAAGGTGGCTTGTGAGGAGCTCCAGCAGGAGCCACTCTTGGGTCATCTGGGCCTGTTCAATAAGTTCTGGAGTTATGGTCTCTATCTTTTGGGGTTTAGGGTTTAGGGTTTAGGGTTTAGGGTTTCGGGGATTCTTCAAGTTGGGGATTCGGGGTTTTGCCTTTCCAATACCCCCGCAAGGGACCCTGCCTTAGAGAACTGCCTGTTTGGTTTGGGGCAGGCTTTCTGGGGCCTATGCCGGCTTGTTTAGGGTTTAGGGTTTAGGGTTTTTTTGTTTATGCTTTAGGGTTCAGGAATGAGGAGTGAGTTCTGAGGCTTGCGATACTTAGGGCTCAGCTTGGTCTCAGGATGGAAGGCATTGGAGTCTCGGAACCTCGCCCCAAGCCCTCAACGCAATGAGTTAGGCTTTAGGGTTTCGGGTCTGGGGTAGGCATTTTTCTAGCGGATATATTCCAGGGGTCTCTGATGCCAGCAAGTAATAGTCGTGAGCAAAGGTTCGGCCGGTGCCTTCTCAGTCAGAAAATGCCGTCCGCTCTGCGACGCAGAAGTCGAAGCGGGCCGTGCAACCCAACAGGCCCAACTCCGAAGGCCCAGGACCTGAAAATCCACACCTGTTCCTTCCATGAGCAATAACCCCTATAGACAACCACCTGTATCCTTCCATCCCAGCTTTTTGACAGAAGGAGAGCCGCGACAGTGGGGAAGAGCTTACTTCCTCAGTGTCCGCTTGTCTCGAGAACCTTGGGTTGTGCAGTTATATTGCGGAACTGAAGTGGAAGTGTCTTGTGGGAATGGCTGTGGAGGTTTCCGATGGTTCATGCGCAGGTTTATGGACCCCAATCTCCTACACCCTAAAATTTTAAAAGATCTTGGATTGGGATGTTCCCCCTAGTGCTATCAGTCCTTGATTGGGAAAATAAGAGGGTACTATCATCCATATCAAGGACTGTTATGTTAGGATAAGGGGGAACATCCCAATAACTATCCTAAGCCCTAAACCCAAGACCCTAAACCCTAAACCAATTACGGGCCCATATTAAGGGACCATGTTTCTACCCTTAGATTTACAAAGGGATCCCAACCTTTACAACCTTAGAGAGCTTTTGCCAACCCCCCAAAAGCCGGGGCTGGGGGCCAAGGGTTCGGGTTGCTCGTAAGGCCCTTGTGGACTCGACCACCCTGAACTCCAAACCCTAAACCCTAAACCCTAAACCCTAAACCCTAAACCCTAAACCCTAAACCCTAAACCCTAAACCCTAAACCCTAAACCCTAAACCCTAAACCCTAAACCCTAAACCCTAAACCCTAAACCGATCACCCTCCTGCCAGCACGGCACTTCACCAGTTTGCCCCAAGGACCTGCGCGCTGCTCAATTCCGATAGTGAGAGCGAAGAGGATGCCTGGTACTCGGAGGGTTTAGGGTTTATGGTTTAGGGTTTAGGATTTAGGGTTTAGGGTTTAGGATTTAGGATGGATTTAGGGTTTATGGTATTTAGGGTTTAGAGGTTAGGGTTAAGCGTGTAGGGGTTTAGGGTTTAGGGTTTCCGGGCTTTAGGATCTTCACGCTTAGGGCTTGGGTGAGCGTGGGCGTGGAGGAAAGCTGAAATTAAAAACACAAATTGACGCAATCTGACTCGGTGCTCAGGCCCCCAAACACCCTGGCCCCCGCCCCCGCTCCCCCTTTAGGGTTTAGGGTTTAGGGTCCCCCCCCCAACTTCGTGTGAAGTGGAAGGTTCAAGGTTCTAGGGCTAAGAAACCCTAAACCCTAAACCCTAAACCCTAAACCCTAAACCCTAAACCCTAAACCCTAAACCCTAAACCCTAAACCCTAAACCCTAAACCCTAAACCCTAATAAACCCTAAACCCTAAACCCTAGCATTTCGAGCAGTTGGAGCCGAGGATGAGCTGCTCAACTCTGTGCCACCTTGGCTGAACCGATGCGTGCGCCCTGGGCTGTCCATCCTTTATCCACTTCTCTTAAGAAAAACACCCGTTTCGGGTTCTTGAGGGGGCTATTTGGGGTTTATGGGGGTTAGTTTGGGGTTTTCGGGGTTATTTGGGGTTTAGGGGTTTCGGGTTTCGGGGTTTCGGGTTTAGGAGTTCTTTAGGGTTTAGGGTTGAGGGGCTATTTAGGGTTTAGGGGTTTCGGGTTTAGAGGCTATTTAGGGTTTAGGGGTAGGGGCAATTTCGGGTTTAGGGGTTTCGGGTGTTTAGGGTTTAGGGTTTAGGGGTTTTTGGCAGAAATTGCAACCCGCAAGCCGAAGACCCCAACTCCTAAACCCTGAGCTCCCAAGGACGAGGCGCTTGTTGCTTCACCCACAAAATCGCCTTTCCGAAGATCAGACTAAACATTGTGTTTGGTTGGGGGTTTTACAGTTTCGAGTAGGGCTTTGAACGCTAGGGTTTGGGCTTTTGGGGTCGAAATCCTTCAGCGCTAAGCCGGAGAGCGTCCCGTGAGGTGCGGCGTGCCCGCAGAAGTTCAGCGGATCGTGAAAGAGAAGAACGACTCCCGTGTCGGGAGAAAACTGACGATGTTCGATACTGCCGGGCCGGCCGTCCGACTGCCTCCCGACTCGGGGTGTTCTGCGGCAGGGTTTCGGTGGACTTTGGGATACTCCTGAACCCTAAACCCAACCCGTAAACCCCTAAACCCGAAAGCCAAAACCCGAGCCTGTGATTTTCGGCAACGCCAGATGACGCAGGGCAGGTTGGGGGATCCAGGGGTTTCAACGAGAGTTGGGCCAAAGCAAAACCAAGCCGCCAGGTGTAGACTCTGTGGTGCCTTACTGTAACTTTAGATCCTTAGCCTTTTTTGGGTTTATTGGGTTTCTTAGTAAGGCAGCTAAAAATTTGATTCGTAGCTACCTTGCTAAGTGCAGCCACGTAAAGGTGTAATTCCTACGGGTCAGGGGGATGTTCTGGGGTTAGCACTCAGGGTTTTAGCGGTGTTGAGGGACCGAATCCCAAACCCTAAACCCTAAACCCTAAACCCTAAACCCTAAACCCTAAACCCTAAACCCTCTGGGGAAACATGGGGATCGCCGAAAATCGGGTTTGGGGGAGTAGCTTGTGGGAGTTCCGAGAAGAAGGATTGTGTCTTTTTCTTGGTTGGAAGGGAGACCCGATTCCCTAGTTTAGAAAACTCACCACATGGGGGTTTACGAAAATATCGGACCCCTAAAGAGATGCCCAAATAATAAGGACACCACTTTCGGAAACCCTAAACCCTAACCCCTAAAGCCTAAACGCTAAACCCTGCCCCCTCAACCCTGAGATAAGGTTGTGGCCCGCCACCATTCTGCACATCTGCTTTGCTGCTGCCCTGCCTTGGCTAGCCAGACCCTACACGTGACTGGGTCTCTCGTGTGTGGTTCAGGGTTCAGGGTTTAGGCTTTAGGGTCGCTGTCTGTGTCTGTGTCTGTGTGTGTGTGTGTGTGTGTGTGTGTGCGTGTGTGTGGGTGGGTGGGTGGGTAGGTGGGTGGGTGGGTGGATGGGGTGTGTTCTTCAGGGTCGACCATGCCCTAAACGCTTCGGTGGACATTGGGCGCATAGATCTGGGAAGTGTGGCGGGAGAGGGGTGGCGGGGTAGGGCAGGTAGGGTCCTTGTTGCTAAAGCAGTTTGCAGAGGAGACCCAAACCCCACCACCCATCCCTATGTCAGGGCTGGTCTTACACAGCTACATGTCACAATGTGCAGTTGAACCGTCAAGCTTCAGCGCCACCAAAAGAAGCCGAAGCTTTCTCCCCCCAATCCCTGAACCCCAAACCCGAGACCTGAAACCCTGAACCCCAAACAAAAGGTCCCAAAACCATCAACCCTAAAAGGCTCCAATACCAGAAGCCCCCTCGAGGTTGACAGTAGGGCGACCCTCCCCCGCCCTCCTCCTCCCCGCCTAGGCGCTGCGAAGGGGACGGAAAATCCGTCTACCCAGGCGTCGGGTTCTGTTCTGGGTTTTGGGTGTTGGGTTTAGGGGTGGGCTGTTTCGGGTTGGGCTGTTTAGGGTTGAGGGATGGGTTTTTGGAGATGGTGTTTGCCGGACTCTTGCGACAGGCGTGTGGACAAGGGTGTGATTTTCAGGACTCAGGAGCTTCAGTGCCCCCACCCGGACGCCGAGCTCACTACCTTCTTGAGTGTTTGCTTGTCCTACTTCAGTCGTCTTCTTTAGATGCTGCAAAATCCCACGATTATGCGGATTCTGAAAATTTGTGTCAGCGACCCCTATTGATAAGGTTACGCAGCCGGAATATTGCGAAGTTCGTGGGCCGTGGATCCCGGGGTGTCAAAAAGACAACCAAGAATCCAAGGATAAAGCACACAAAGCCTCAACCTCTCAACCCCTCAACTCCCCAAAGCCTCAGCCCCTCAACCCCTCAATTTCCCCTCGACCCCTCAACCTCTCGTTTGGGGCCGCGGGGGGTGGGGGTGGGGGCTCCCAGATGCTAAGCCTTCTAAGCCGTGCAAACCATTCCCGGTTGAAGCTTCAGGGTTTGAGGGCTTTCCGTTTTGAAAGCTGCCGACTGGAAAGCCAGGCTGGCTGTGGCTTGGCTTTCTGCCCTTCGTGCTTACGATGCTGGCGATTGAGTGGCGCTGCTTCACCTTCACGGTGGTGCCGATGTTACAGTGGATACAGGACGGCGCATTGCGGGCGACACTTGACCATCGGAAGGGTTCATCGATCTTGCTGCCCCCCTTTCCCAACTTGGCGGCGGCAGAATTAGCCTCAGTTGCCCCATTTGTCCCTCCACACAACTAGCTTCCTCACTTGCCGCAGCCGGAAGTAAGGATTCGATCGTTAATCCCATGCTGGGAGGGCGGCCTGTGTCAACAGGGGGGGTGGGGGGATGATGCGAGTGAGGCAAGCGGGTAGAGGGGGCACGGAAGGCAAGTGGGGCACGTGTTAGAGAACAGTTAGCGGTCCACTTGCCCTTCGACATCCAACAAAGCTTCTGGCCACGAGACCTCATATGGACGCCGATGTGTTTGCTTATGAGCACCGTGTGTGAGGGTATGGGGTGGCTGCCATTGAGCGTGGCTTTAGGGTTTAGGGTTCTTGCTTAGACTAGGGATTTAGGAGTTTATGTAAGGGCTTAGGGCTTCAGGGTTGCCCAGCCCAAAGCAAGGTGCCAGCCCCCTGGTAACGATGCAAGCATCGCCCTGCGCTAAACACATGGACACAAAGGAAATCATGCAAGCGCTGTGTTGCTGAGCCGCTGTTTAACCGCAGCTGCTGTCAGGAACTGTCGTCGTAGTCAAAAAATGGCGCGAGCTTTGTTGACAAGTCTCTGCTTTGGCCATCATGGCAGTCAGGATGACTGGCAGTGGTGTGACTCGCTGGTGTTTTCTGTTGGTAGCAATCTTCACCTCTACAAACAGGTCAATGGACCGCCTGCGCGCAACTTCCACACGGTGCTTCAGCCATTCACGACCACAGCATGTGCCCAAGTCCAAGCGCAAGCGCATGCTATACCGGCCGAAAAATACCTTCAAGCGGCACATGGGCATTTCAGAGCGGAAGCGAAAGTTGTATTTTGCCAGTTGGCCACTAGACTCGTCCAGTTCCCAGGTACGCGAGGGAACCCAATCCCAAGTTCAGCAGCTGGCGCAGAAAACTGAAAGAGTCGCGAACACCCGAGAAGTTGCTAAGCGTGTTGGACACTGCAGTGCGATCAGGAGGGATAAGCTTTTGCGAGTCCATGATGCCCAGGAACAATGCGACATAGAACCGGACGGCATTCAGTCGCGAATGTTCATGTCATGCCTTAAAGATGGGACTCTCTCGAAGGCTGTACTTGCCAGGAGAAAGAAACTAGGCCTGCAATTGGGCCAGTCAGTCTGGTGTGCCATGCCTCCACCAACAAGCGAGTTTGATTTTTCTCCTGCTCTGGGCAGTGCTTGGAACTTGTGTACAGCTATTGCTGTCAAATTCAGGACACTGTCACCACATGAAATCTTGCTTGGAAATCTCATCAACGAAGCAGGCATGCTGCACAATTTTTGCCGCGCAGACCATCTTTGGACTCTCCTGGTGCGCAAGCTTGCCGTCAAGCCCAACTGCATTTGCTACGTGTCATACGCCAGGGCACACTTGCTGTCGGGGAGGCCGGCGACAGCCGTTCAGATCTTGGATTCAATGGCCGATGCGAGCCTGGGCAAGGGCAACGGACAAGCATCAATCATTTACTTGCAGGCGCTGTTGCTGATGTGCCACTCGAAGCCTTCAAAGTCACGCCTTTCTGGCTTGAACACTTTCCTGACAAGCTCTGCAGCACTGAATCTCACTGGCAACGGCAAGCGCATGCAGCAAGAGTGGGGAGAGCTTCGGCGTGCGGCCCAAAAGCTTCTTTCAAAGCCCACTTCTGTCAGGTTTCGTGAGGTACTGCTTACCGACAATGCCAGACGAAAGAGTGTCATGAGGACCTGGCCCAACCTTCAGGCGGATTCTGGCTACCTTGCCGACGAAACATGAAAAGGTCACATCGAGTTTCGAGGTACCGAACACAAGTGCAAACCACCAGAAGGAAACTCTTGGCGACACTAATCATCCTGGCATGATTGCAGCCTGGGCCTTCTTGAAAGGTTTTGGTGGAGCCCAGAGTTGAGGGTGGATTAGAGTTCACAAGCCCTAAGCCCCCGAAGCCCGTAAACCCCTGCAGACCCGCAACCCCAAGCCCTCAGAGCCCTACGAGCCCTAAGAGCCCTAAGAGCCCTGGGAGCCCTAGGAGCCCTAAGAGCTCTCGACCCGAAAGCCCCAAGCCCTGAACCCCACGCCGCAGAACCTGGAGATCCCTCTTTGGGAATCTCCGCCCTTCTGGGTCTGGCTGCTCTACACGCTCTTCGTGAGTGTGCCATGGGGTCCGCAGGTTTTTTAAGGTTGAGGTTGTAGGGTTTGGGGTTTCTGAGGGGTTTCAAGTGTTTTAGGTTAGGGGCTGCGGGCTTCAGCTCTTTGGGCCGGGGCATCCAGTCTGGGTGCCGAGGTTTGCTGGTTTGGGGGTCCTAGGGGTTTTTTGGGAGGCCTTCAAATGTGGCCTTTGATCGCTTAGAAACAAGAAACCTAAAACCTAAAAACCTGAAGCCTGAAACCTAGAACTCAAAGCCTAAAACCTAACCCTAAAATCGAAAACTCTTAAACCCTAAACTTTTAAACGCTTAAATCCTTAAACCCTTGACTCCAAAAGACTTGAATCCCTTCAGGCGGGGGGTGGGCGGGGGACGCAGGGTTCGCAAAGCCGAGCTTGACATCCACCACTTCCTCAGGGCCTCCCATGGCCTTGCACCCTAAACCCTGTGCCATCCCTCCCAGGTCTGTCAGGGCCTCCAAGCGATGTTCATGAAGCGTGTTGTCAGGGTTGAGGGTTTAGGGTTTCTAGAATGCTTCCCTTTGTGCAGTCGCTTGTTCACCGTTGTTTCGCTTGCAACTGCGTGCGCTATCCAAACAAAACTCCTGAACACTTGGTTTAACCACAGGAAAACCCGGAGACAGAGAGAGAGAGAGAGAGAGACAGAGAGGTAGAAAACAAAGTTCACGTGGGTTGGCTCGTTTCTTTGTGGCAATCGCGGCGTTCGTGGCGGTCGCGCCCAAGCAAAGAAGGCATACATGCCCAGCCTTAGGCTTCCCTTCAACCCTTTTGGGTGCTTGCTTGCAAGCACTTGATCTTGCCGGAGGCTTCCAAACCTTAACCCCCTCCATGGGTCAAATAGATCCTTTGTTTTCTTTTTTAAATTCGGGTTTGAGCCATTCATTCCCAGAGAGAGTCGAGGATGAGTGCAGGTGACGCTGAGATGGACGTTCTTCTGGCTCGGTTTGTGGTTTAGGGGCTAGGGTTTGAAGCCTCGAATTCAGCCCAAAACCCCAAACCCCTAAACCCCTAAACCCCAAACCCCTCAACCCCTCAAACCCACGAACCTCCAAACCCCTCAACCCCCAAACCCCAAACCCTAAACCCCAAACCCTAAACCCTAAACCCTAAACCCTAAACCCTAAACCCGCACAGCCACGAGGTGCTCACGCACATGGATGTGATGACGCAGGGTCTGTTTCTGGCAACGACGCTGCACCGGTTCCACTGTCCAGGCAGACCGGGGACTTTTTTTAAAGCTAAACTTAATGGTTTCTATGAGGGAATAAGGGAATTAATTAGGCATCCCAACTCAGGGCTTACAGTTGATTGTTGGGGTTGAGGGTTCAGGGTTGCTAAGCCCGTGAAGAATCTGAGCGTTCGCAGGAAGCATCCCGACACCAAAGACCGAAAGACTGAGATTTCCCGATGAACCGCCCCCCTCCCCCCCCGCCCCAACCCTAAAACCCTAAAACCCTGAACCCCTTCAACCCTGAACCCCTGAACCCCCCCCCCCCCCCCCCCTCGCAAAACTCCCCAAGCCACCGACGCTTTGGTGCCAGGGTTTGGCCGCACAGAAGAAGTCTGGGAGGCCGCCGGGTTTAGGGCTTAGGGGTTTAGGGGTTTAGGGCTTTAGGGGTTTAGGGGTTTGGGGGCTTGGGGGTTTAGGGTTGGGGGGTTGAGGGGTTTGGGGGGTTGAGGGGTTAGGGGTTTAGGGGTTCAGGAGGGCTGATGGTTTTGGGAGAGCTCACATGGCTCGGGACGGAGGAGTGGCCTCAAACCAAGCCCTGTAGAATCCCACCTGAACAATGAACCCCCCAAATCCTGAATCCTCAGCAGCCTCTCTAAACCCTAAACCCTAAACCCTAAACCCTAAACCCTAAACCCCAAACCCCAAACACTAAGCCCTAAACCCTATACCCCAGGAAGTCTGGGGTACCAGCCTGCTCTCCTGGGTGACCTGGGGCTCCAGCCTGGACGCCTTCTCTGCTTTCGGGTTTCGGTTTGGGGTTTAGGGTTTAGGGTTTAGGGTTTAGGTTTGGGGTTTAGGGTTTAGGGTTTGGGGGGCTCTAAGGGGGTTTAGGGTGCGCGGCCTGGGGGTTTCTGGTTTTTGGTTTAGGGGTTTCTGGTTTCGGGTTTTGGGTGTCGGGTTGGGGGTTTGCAGGGTTCGAGGTTTGTAGGGTTCGGGGTTTGTAGGTTCGGGGTTTGGGGTGCTGGGTTTGTTGCTGTGGGGTGGGGGTGGTTGGTTGCTCAAGGATTTTGGGCCTAGTGTGGAGTGCATGGTTTTCGCTTGGTTTGGGGCATGGTCGACCAGCCGAAGCCCTCTTTAGCACATGGGGGCTGCTCCCGAAAACCGTGACACTACGGGAACCCCAGAGCACTGGATTGGGGTAAGGGCACCCTGCCGTAGCGAAAAGATGACCAGACATTGTGTTATCCAATTGTGTCACATGCCAACCTTCGCCCCTGGAGTTCAACAACCTAAAGCCCGTCATGCGCGCCCTAAACCCTAAACCCAAGACCTGAACGAAAAAGGGTGACCACAGTTTGAGAACCGACCACGGAAGGAAACGCTGGTCATTGTCAGCTGGGCGGTGTTCGTCTTGTCTCTGGACTCAACCGTCCACGGAACCCTAAACCCTAAACCCCAAACCTTAAGCCCTAAACCCGACTAGGATTTGCCTACGGCCTAGGGATTGGTGTTGTCGCAGTTGCCCTTTTAAGGATGACTTTTGTGAGCGTTCCTTAAGCTGTGCCGCGTCTAGGGGTCGCCCCAACCCTGAACACTAAACCCTAAACCCTAAACCCTAAACCTTGAACCCGAAACCCGAAACCCTAAACCCTAAACCCTAAACCCTAAACCCTACATGCCGCGCCAACCCAAGAAAGAGCCGAAGGGCCCAAGTCCCCAGGGCCCAATCATTCTTCCCCCCCTCTCCCCGCCCCTCCCCCTTGGCTTTATTAGGGGTTTAAGGGTTTAGGGTGTGGGGTTTAAAGGGTTTAGGGTGTAGGATTGCGAAAGTGCGACGCTGCTACTGTTTGTCCCCCGAATAAACCCTAAACCCTAAACCCTAAACCCTAAACCCTAAACCCTAAACCCTAAACCCTGAACCCTGAACCCTGAACCCGAATATAGTCCCCCCACTCAAACAAAAGGCAGCTGCTTCTCTTTGCTCTCTACGCCCTGCCATTGCAGCCGATCAGCTTCGAGTGCCAGCTTCTCGGGGAAACAGAATGTGTAGGGATCAAGAGCCTTGATCAGGGTTTAGGGTTTAGGGTTAGGGTTCAGGGTTTAGGGTTTAGGGTTTAGGGTTTAGGGTTTAGGGTTTAGGGTTTAAGGTTTAGGGTTTAGGGATTAGGGTGTAGGGTTGCCCTGAATCCTAAGCCCAACCTACCGAAGCCCCTCCTTAGTTTGCATGGACGTCCTCATCAGACCAATGCCTCCAGTCCTCGAGTTTGGGGTTGCGGGTGCAGACGATGCCGTAAACTTTAAGCTCTGGAGCCCCAATCCGTAGACTCTTGTACTCTTGCATGTGAAGTGCAGAGCGCGCCTTTTGGCAGCCGCACAGAAGAAGAATCATCCACACGCTCTGGAACCCTAATCTCTGAACTCGGGAAGCGTAAACGCGAAAGTTTTAAACTTTAAATCATAAGAAGCATTCTTTCAGAGTTTAGGGTTTCAGGGTTTCAGGGTTGAGGGCGAAGGGTCTGGGGTTTGGATTTGAGGGTTTAGGGCTAAACCACACTGCAGACACTTGGCCTAGGAGCGAGAAGAAAGGCTACCTCAATGTGGCCGGTCTGGGATTTGTCAGAATCTGGCACGCGGATGCACTGACCCGTGGTGGAGTTCGGCTGTTGTTCAGCCCTGAACTTGAAATGGGTTTAGGATTTAGGGTTTAGGGTTTAGGGTTATTTGGCGGATTGCGGAATTTAGGTTCAAAGGTCTCCTAAGGGGCATTTTTGAGAGGCACCGCCCATGTAAGCCGCAGGCCCCCAGCTCGGGAGCCACGTGTTTAGGGTTTAGGGTTCAGGGCTCAGGGACAAGAACCCCCATACCTACACAAGACACACAGACACACCGCAAATACATAGATGGATAGCGATTTGAGCTTCAGTTTGTAGAGCTTGGCTCAAGGCCTGAAGCCAGTGCGCCACAGCTTTCTTATCCAAAAACCTAATATATGGTTCCCTGTTTAATTGTACTATAGTAACCCCCAAAACCTTATTCTAATATCCAAAAACCCTAACAATAATATATGGTTCCCTGGTTAATTGTACTATAGTAACCCCCAAAACCTTATTCTAATTATTAAGGCTCCCTCTTTTTTGGCTTCCTCACCCTAAGGGTGCTCGCAAGCCGAAGCCTGCAGCTCCTGAGTCCCTTCTGGTGCTCCTTAGGGGTTTCGTTTCAGGGTTTAGGGTTTAGGGTTTAGGGTTTAGGGTTTAGGGTTTAGGGTTTAGGGTTTAGGGTTTAGGGTTTAGGGTTTAGGGTTTAGGGTTTAGGGTTTAGGGTTTAGGGCCTTCAGCCCGAAGCCCTAAACCCTAAACTCCAAGGAAGGACCTGGCAAGCTCCAATCGGATGGCCATGGTCTCGGCTGGGCATCTCAGGCACTTTCCGGGTTTAGGGTTTAGGGTTTAGGGTTTAGGGTTTAGGGTTTAGGGTTTAGGGTTTAGGGTTTAGGGTTTCGGGCTTATGCCTTAGGTTGCGAGTGACTGGGGAACACCCCTCAACCCCCAAAGTTTCCGAAAGTCTACTCCCTACACCCGCAAAATCGCCAGAATCTGCCAACAACTCCCATACCCTAAGCCCTCAACCCTCAAAACCCCAAGACGCAAAGCTCGACAACTCCCAGCCCTAAAGCCCCCTAAACCCTAAACTTCCCCAAGTCTCCGAAATACCTCGAAGCCCGAAACACTTAAACACTTGAAACACTAGAATCTCTGAACCCTGACCCCGAAACCCAAAACCCAAAACCCCAAACCCCAAACCCCAAACCCTAAACCCTAAACTCTAAACCCTAAACCCTAAACCCTCGAATCCCGGCTCGTAGGCTTAGCGTGCGGCGTGCCCAGCAGGAGCTGCAGGCGCAGCCGCCTCACTACACCCGGCCGCTGTGAGACATATGGTCATTTATCTAGGTCAGGGGTTTAGGGTTTAGGGTTTAGGGTTCAGGGTTTAGGGTTTAGGGTCATGCTAGCTTTATGTATTTTGTTTGAGTGGGGGGGTGGGGTGGGGTGGGTCTCAGGGTCTTGATTCGGGTTGACGTGCTCTACATATCCTAACCCAACATGTTTACATCTATGTAACAATGTATGTATGTATGCATGTACGTATGTACGTATGTACATATGTACGTATGTACGTATGTACGTATGTACGTATGTATGTAGGTATGAAGGGGGTGGGTGGGTATGAAGGTATGTAGGATGTCTACACACTTCTATGTCTATCTATCTATCTATTTATCTACCTATCTACCTATCTGCATAGGCATGTGAATATATATATATATATATATATATATATATATAAATACATACATATATACTTTTATGGTTTAGGGTTTAGGGTTTAGGGTTTGGGTGTAGGGTTTAGGGTTTAGGGTTTAGGGTTGAGGGTTTAGGGTTTAGGGTTTAGGGCGAGGACCCTCAGACCAAGCCTAGGCCTTGAAGGGTCGCAGGGTGGTCGAAGCACTAAGCTTGAAACAACCTAAGCCCTAACCCCTAAACCCTAAACCCTAAGCCCTAAACCCTACACCCTAAACCCGAAACCCTAAACCCTAGGTTTCTGCACATCTTGAAGATGGAGCTGCGGCACCTGCTTCTGCGCCTCGTGCTCGTCAACCTGTGCACGAATTGCACGAAATTGGAGGCGCACACCGGCCTAGGTTAGGGTTTAGGGTTTAGGGCTTAGGTTTCAGGGTTTAGGGTTTAGGGTTTCGGGTTTCGGGCATTGGGGGTTTAGGGCTGTAAGGGTCTAGGGGTTTAGGGGTTTATTTCGGGAATAGGGGTTTCAAGTTTAGGCTTTAGGATAGAACCCGTGCACATCCTTTCCCAGTTCTTCAAGCCATGCTATGACCCAGGAGTTTGCAGTTCCCCAGAACTGCAGTCGTCGGAACACTTTCGGAATGATCTGAAATGGGGTTTAGAAGGCTTTAGGGTGTTTAGGGTTTAGGATTTTTGGTGTTTGAGGCTCGGAGGATTTGGCTTTAGGGTTTTAGGTTAGGCTCTTTAGGGCTTAATTTCGGGTACAGTTGTTCTCTAGGGTTTAATTTCGTGTATAGCGCCTGGTTAAGGGTTTAGGATACAGGCTTTTTTCTTTAGAGTGAAGGGTGCCATAAGAAGGACGTGAACATGGACGCGCTTTCCTGTCTCGGAAAACGGAACTAGGACCGCTAAGACATGAACGTCAACTTTTAGAAGGGGATTCTGCCGCCATGGATGTTTCTTCTTCCGCGAGAATGGTGGCTCAAGCTACCTTGCGTGTTTCACTTTCTTTGCGAGATTCATAGTTTCATAAGACGTGCACGATGGCCGGCGCTCCTTTCTGCACCTTCTCTGCGCCTGTCTGCTCTGTAGGAACCATGTTTCGTTTGATGAGACTCGACACCCAAAATGGGGAGGGGGGTACTAAGAATACTCTACTCTTAAGGCCCCGATATTCAGCACTCAAAGCAACTGTAAAGTCTGACGATAAAGGCACCTTTATCAGTATAGTACCATATATGTATGTATGTATGTTTGTATGTATGTATGTATGTATGTATGTATGTATGTATGTATGTATGTATGTATGTATGTATGTATGTGTGTGTGTGTATGTGTGTATGTGTGTATGTGTGTATGTGTGTATGTGTGTATGTATATATATATATATATATGTATTTTAACCCCCAAGCCGATTCTAACACGACACCCTATATGAACCCCAAATCCCTTGTAGACCCTTAGACGAACCTTTTAAACGAACCCCGTTCTAGTTAAACGTTGAAGGCCCGTACATTAGAGGTGCTGCTGGTCTCCACCGCCCTGGCTTTGAGGATGGATGCGGAACTCGAGCAAGATCCGTGCAGGGATTTTGACAAGAAGACAGAATCTCGGTTTAGGCTTGAAGGCTTCGGGGTTTCGAGTTTGGGGTTTAGGGTTTAGGGGTTTCGACAAGAAGACAGAATCTTGGTCTTTCAGAGGTAGATTTTGCAGGATTCCCTGAAAGGGGTCCTCGAATGGTTCTAGAGGGGTCAGGGTTCATGTTGTAGGTGCCCTTTACGTTTCCTCTTTTCTTATTGTGGGGTTCTTCATACAAGCGGAGTAATAGAGAAAGCTTACCCTAAACCCTAAACCCCGATTCGGAAGGGTACAACGGGCAAGCAAGGAGTACGGCGGTGCCGGCGGTAACGCCTACGTGATTCGGTTTACGAAGAGGTGCGGAACTATTCCTCCAGGCTCTGTGGCCAAAGCCTTCGTGGACGACGATCTCTTCGACTCTTCTTATCGTGTCCTGAACAACCTCCTTGACGTGAAGGCGTTTTCGGGTTTGGGGTATAGGGTGTTTTTTGTGAAGTTTCTTATATGGGTTTAGGGCGTGGCTGATTTTTATGATGTTTCTTGTGGGTTGATTAAGGGTCTTTAAACTTTTCCCATCGAGTCCTGAGCCATTTTCGCGATGTGAAGGCCTTGGCTGGCCTCGTGCCGGAAAAGAAGAAATTTGACGGCTTGTGCGTGCACGTGAAGAAGACAGACGACTGTTGCAGCACATGGAAGGCCACACGAACTTGCCACTTTCTGGTCATGCAGGATGGAGGTGACTTGAACGCGGATAAAGCTGGGAGCCTGAAGAGTATTGAATAGCTGCCAGTATTGTTCCTTAGGGTTTGGGGTTTAGGAATCGTAGCTGATAACTATACTATCATGTAATCATGTACACAAGAACAGCGTGCTAATTCTGAAGGCCCCCATGTTAACATCATGGCACACTATAAGAATCGTGAGGACACCGGCCACTGTAGGGTCTAAGCCCGAAGCCCTTAAACCCCCACACCGAAGCCCCAAAACCCAAAGCAGAGGTGCGAAGACCTTGGAGCAATGCGTCGAGGGATATGCACTGAGCGCCGGCAAACTCAAAGAGCTTGTGTTGTCCGCCATCACTGCCGCCCTCTCCTTCCACAGGAAAGGTTGGTATCATGGGGACTACCAGCTCAAGAACCTGATGGTGGACCACGTGTGCGCCCCTAAGACCCTGAAAGTAGTCGACTTGGATGGTATGGGCAATGTTGACGGCACGGCTGGCGAGGTATGGAACAAGCCGCACCGCATGCTAAAGGACTATGCGATGCTGTTTGGCAGCTGCGACTTGGGTGCCATGCCGATCGAGGAGTTCACGTACAAGTCTCCGACAGCCCAGCAGGAAGCACATCGGATCGCTGCAGCAGTTGCACCCGTCATGAGCCCATTCTGCCACGGCGCATGGAACTCCAGCCCGGAGGACATCGTGGAGTTGGGACGGAGGCTCAAGAGCACCGTCGAAGGTGTGAACTAAGCTGTGCAACTTCAGCACCTCCATTGTCTCAAGAAGCACCGAGTGGGAATCCCAAAATAGAGGTTTGAAGAAGAGGCAGTGAAATCCCCGTGTAGTCATTAAGACCCATACTCCAAGTTGCTCTCAAATTCGATTCTGATGTTTAAGATCCTTATGAGAAGCCCCCAGCCTTTTCAACCTCCGATGACACCCTTGTACAACCGTAGAACCCTCTCTAAACTCCTTGACAGACCGGAGCCCTGACAAGGGTTTAAGATGGAAGTCTGAAGAATGGGCAATACGAGTCCTTGAGCTTTTTTGGTTTCTATGATGCGCAAAGTATAGATGGACCCTATTCGACTTCTTCAAACCCTCATCAGGGGCGGTGGCTACCCTACATATCTATATATATATATATATATATATGTATACACACACATACAAACCCTAAACTCTAAACTCTAAACCCTAAACCCTAAACCCTATAACCCCGTTATAGAGGATCGTTCTCAGGAACAGGTTGTGGAAGTACAAGATCATCTCTCATGATGGACATCCTAAACCCTAAGCCTTCAACCCTGAACAATACAACCCTAAACCCTAGTTTCGCAACATCTATTTATACACATGCATCGATTATCATGGCAAAAATGAAAGCTAAAGAAGCAACTAATCCATATATGTATATATATATATGTATATATATATATATGTGTGTGAGAGAGAGCGCACCCTTTGTGCTCTATGTTGCCGTTCTTTTTCTGTGCCTTTTTTTCTGTACGCGTATGTAAACCATTAAAAAAGTGAACAAATGAAAGTATTCAATGGAGCCATTTGAACTCTCCAGCTGTCTGTCCAGATCCCCGATTTGCGTTCCTGGCAGGAGAGGCATAAGCACAGGAGTCTGCAGAAGCCCTCTGCCATTAGTCTCGATATTCATATCAGTAGTACTGCTACTAAGGTCATGTTAGAATTAGTATTCGTACTGATATTACTATCAATATTCGTATCAAAGTAGTCGTAGGAATAGGGAGATTATTGATCTAGTATTCGTACGGATATTACTATCAATATTTGTATCAAAGTAGTCGTAGGAATAGAGAGATTATTGAATAAGGCCTGCCAAATGTCAAATACGTCATAATATAGTATCAAATAAAGCTTCATGATATTATACGATGTAGTTCAGTTGAGGGTGTGCCCCCCTCTCCCCTTCCCCCCTGAACCCTAAGCCCCAAACCTGGAGAGGTCCAGACAACAATCTTCGCCCTGGGGCGCATTGACAGCAATGGCGTCCTCGACCAGGAGCTCGCTTGGGTAGCCCATGGTGCGCCCCAGGTCTCGTTTCCCCGGTTCAAAGGAGGGAATGAGGGAATTCATTAGGGCGTATATACCCTTTTAAGGGATAATATAGGGTGCCTCACTCTCTCACTCTCTCACTCTCTCGCTCTCTCGCTCTCTCGCTCTCTCACTCTCTCGCTCTCTCACTCTCTCACTCTCCTACCTAAACCCAAAACCCCCTAACCGCTAAACCCCTGAACCTCAAACCCCTCAAAGCCCTTCAAACCTTCGACTGTGGACCTCATGTCCAAGAGACCCGCAACCGCCAGGCTGCAGTTGCCCTCTAGGGTTCGGGGCTCAGGGTTTAGGGTTTCGGGATGAGGGCTCAGGGTTTAGGGCTTAGGGCTTCGGGTTAGGGCTTAGGGCTCAGGGTTTAGGGTTTAGGGCCAGGGTTTTGGGCTTAGGGCTTAGGGCTTCGGACCTGCAGACTCGAAACCGAAACAGGAGGGCCTACTGTGCATCACGCTCGCTCACCTCACGTCCTTGCAGGAGCGGCCGTCGGGTCTGCGAGACTTTTGGGGCTGTTCAGGGCTTCAGAATTTCCTGATATTGGATTCCCTAAACCCTAAACCCTAATCCCTAAATCTTTAAGGGCCCTAAAGGCCTTACTGAACCCTTGGATGCCCCAGAACCTTTAGAGCCCTTAAAAACACGACTCGGGCTTTGGGTTTAGGGTTTAGGGTTTAGGGTTGAGGGTTTTCGGAATTCGAATGGGTGCGGCTGGGGAAGTTTGTAGATGTTTTTTTCAGGGAGGGGATCGTGTTGGTAATTTGTTTTAGGCCTGTATGAACAGTTCGCCCCGCAGATGTAGGCTACCCATGACGGGATCACAACTTAGAAATCCGGCCCCATAGCACGAGAGTTGCTGATGCAGGCTCTGCAGGTGGTGATGTCGGGCGCCTGGGCCATCAGGAGTGCGCAGGAGCCTTTCTTCGGGCGAATTGGGGCGGAGGGGGTGGGCTCACAGTTTAGGGTTTAGGGTTTAGGGTTTAGGTTTTAGGGTTTAGGGTTTAGGGTTTGTTGTTTAGGTTTGCAGGGTTTGAAAGGCTCTGGCTGGTGCATGGTTCTCAAGATTTCAAGAGCTGGCATGCAGAAGTACTCGTTGGCAGAACTGTACTCGTTGGCAGAACTGAAGGCTCAAGGGCAAGAGCATTACCGTCCACACTGGCAGCATACATCTCTCTCTCTCTCACTCTCTCTGTCTCTGTATATGCATATGTACACACATTCTCTTTGTCAAAAGAATATGTGTAGATACATACATATATATATGTACGTGCATGTATATATATATATATATAGAGAGAGAGAGAGAGAGAGAGACAGAGAGAGACCGACTTTCAGTAAGCATCATTCAGCCAGCCATGGGCGCAACAATCTCAGAGTGCTGTGTGGAACGTGAGAAGGTGCCTGACCCTTTCTTGATCCCACGCCGTCCTCCTGTACAGCCCACTGGATGCGATTTCGTAAAGAGTGCTGGGAGGCCGTGCAGACCGGAGGATCACGAGAGGGCATGCAAGGCAAGCGAGGCACAAGAGAAGCCAGAGCAATCGGAGCAGCCGCCAGAAAATGACGACGAGGAAAGGGAGGAGGAGGAGGGGGAAGTGTACTTGAGCCTTGTGGTCCACAACACCTTCCTCCACTACATTCCGGCGGAGCCCGAGGGTACGAGCCGGCAGAGGTCTGAAAGCGTGCCACGCACGTTTCAGCCTTGCGGCTGGTTGTGCCGCCCGACTTGCAACACCGACGGCACGGATGGGACAGGCGACAGCCAGGCAGAGCAGAGGACGCCGAGCAATGATGGCGCGGGATTTCCGAGCCAGGGCGAGCCGGGGGCTGAGGCGGAAGAGGTGTACCATCGTCTTGTGACAAAGAACACCTTTCTGGAGTATGCTCGCGATGACCTGAGTGCCAGGAGGCACCACCGGAGAACTCGCTCTGAGTCGCTTCCCCACTTGTCATAGTCTTAGAATGACCTGGGGGTTGACGATATTAGGGGTGTCTGGACTTATTAGGGTCCTCATGATAAGGGGGATACTACTATTTGGGACCTATTTTGGGAGTCCCCTAGTTTCGTTAACGCCCACCTTGGGGAACTGCATGCGACGAGGTCAGTTTGAGGGCTCTAGTTCAGCACTCCTGAGAAGTCCGTAAGCAGTGGCAAGAGTCAGGCCGGTCGGATCTGGAGACCGTGGGAAAAGGGATGAAAAGGGCTTCACATGTCTCACCGCCGCAGAGGCATCCTTAGAAACTGATTCCCAGAGTCGAACTGCGGGTGAGCAGAGCCTCGCGACCAAACTTGGGCGAACACCTCTGTGGAGGCCAACTGGGCAGCCGGGCTTGCCTCATGCAGCGGGGAAGCAACGACCGACCTCTTGTGGTACCAACTCAGTGCCTTCCTGGCCCGCGAAGGGCAAAGCGTGGACAAGCTTTGGTCTCCGGGTCCAGGCTGCTGAAAGAGCTCAAGTTCACAAGCAGCTGCCGGGCCTTGTTCGTGCGGGCATAGCCGCCAGCACGGAAGCACTCTCGCCGTCGCCCTGTCTTGCGGGCGTCTGTGTTGCAAGCTGTGCAGCGGTCGTACGCGAGCATCTGCGCAACAAAGTGGTCGTGGTAGAACATGATGTCGGTGGTGAGGATGCCACGCATTTCTACTGACTGTGCGCAGTCGCGCTCAGCAGCCTGCACAGCGCGCTTGCCACCCGCAAGATGCCGCTGCTCTCGTTCCACGCGATTGCCTGCGTCACCGATGTCATGGAGAGCGGCGCGTTGTGCTTGCTCCATCTCTTTGTTGGCCTTGTCCAAAGACTCACGCATCTTGTGACCCTCCAGGGGCATCGCAGGCAATGCTGCTTCAGATGTACGCCGAGGTCTTGGCCTCTTCGATACACTGCCCTAGACGATTTGGTGTGCCTCTCTGACGCCCTGCGGCCCTTGAACGAGACGGCGGATGCGGTGGACAAAAATGTCAGCGCGCCGTTAGGGTGGGGTGAGGTGGGGGCCCACGGCCAGGAACACCCCAAAACCCTCAACCACCAAACCCTCAACCCCAAACCCTAAACCCCCAAACCCTCAACCCCAAACCCTCAACCCTAAACCCCGGGGCGATTCGCGGACGGGTGCTTGTGAGCGGGCGCTGGGGCCTTGTCCCACGGTGCCTGCTGTTGTTGCTTTATAACAAGGGGTTTAGGGTTTAGGGTTTAGGGTTTAGGGTTTAGGGTTTAGGGTTGTGGGTTTAGGGTTTAGGGTTGTGGGTTGTGGGTTGTGGGTTGTGGGTTGTGGGGTTGATTGCCTAAACCCAAATTCCTGAATCCCAAGCCCTAAGCCCTAAGCCCCAAACCTAGACCCTAAACCCTAAACCCTAAATCCTAAACCCTAGACCCTAAACCCTAAACCCTAAACCCTAAACCCTAAACCCTAAACCCCTAACCCCTAAACCCTAAACCCTAAACCCTAAACCCTAAACCCTAAACCCTAAACTGTAGACCCTAAACCCTAACCCCGAAACACCAAACCCCAAACCCTAAACCCTAAACCCTAAACCCTAAACCCTAAACCCTAAACCCTAAACCCCTAAATCGCGCAGGATGCCATGGAAGAGGCCAGGGACCACGACGATGGGCCCAAACAAGACCCAGAGTCTGGGGAGGAGTCGACGGAGATTTGCAGGCTCGGGTTTGGGCGGTTTTGGGCGGTTTTGGGGGGTTTGGGGGGTTAGGGGCGGTTTTGGGGGGTTGACGGGGTTTAGGGGAGTTAGGGGGTTCAGGCGGCTTAAGCTTCCTACTAGGATGCCCACTAGTACCCTGATTCTCTTTTGGGGGTTTCGGTTCCCTTGTAAACCCCTTTAAGCAAAACAGGGCACTCTTTCATTCCTCGGTTCCTGGGCTACCGAGCCTAACTTTCCGAATCCCGCAGATTGATCTCCCTGGTCTGGTTCTTCGGGGGCCTCTGCACGGTGATTCAGTGTCACAGCCCCTCGGATGGGCACAGGGGAGCAGCTCCTACTCAGGTTTATTTATTGTTATTCTTTTTTTTTTTTTTTGGGGGGGGGGGGTGGGGGTTCTGCGTAGGCGCCGGGGTTTTCGGGGCATCAACTTACGAGTTCTTCATAGGATTCGGTGCCTTGTATCCCCACTCTATACGCCTGCAATGAATTTGGGCACCAAGTTCCTTGTGTCCGAGAAGAAGCCAGGAGGCTGTTGCGTCTCATGATGCCCTCACTACCGGCATGCCTTTTCTAGGCGGCCATCGACGGTCGCAAGCAGCGCCCAAAGTAGCTTAGGTCTTGGGGCTTAGGCTCAGAAGGGCAGAGCTTGGCATCTTAGAGGTCCTGTTGCCCTACGAGTTGTTGGAATTGCTGCCACGCAGAAGCAAAAGTTGCTGCGGCGCTTGTGCTCAGGGGCCAGCACGCGTTCCGCATCTCGCAACAACGCTTCCAGAGCCCAGTTGAAGTCTGAACCCGTAAACCCTAAACCGTAAACCCTACATCCTGAAGCCCTGAACCCTGAACCCTGAACCCTGAACCCTGAACCCTAAACCCTAAACCCTAAACCCTAAACCCCCGCGGCAGTGTCAAGCTCAGATTTGATGTCGGCTCTGGAAGCGTCGTGACAAGATGCCTGAGAGCAATTGCAGCAGCAACTCATGTGTGTAGCGCGGGCTCAAACCCTCAACTTCAGAACTCCTTTTCCCCCGGACTTAAGCGCCTGTATGTGAAGCCCGAAAGAGCACCTGAAGCAGTCCAAGCCCCTCTAAGCTAAGGCTTAGCCAAGCTCATCGCGGCCTTCATCTGCGAAGATGCCGTCTGGAACTTTCCCAACCAGTGCGTGCAGGTTGACTGACCCCGCCGCGTGGACCCGAAACCCGAAACCCGAAACCCGAAACCAGAAGCCCGAAACCCTAAACCCTAAACCCTAAGCCCTAAACCCTAAACCCTAAGCCCTAACCCTAAACCCTAAACCCTAAACCCTAAACCCTAAACCCTAAACCCTAAACCCTAAACCAACGAACATGTCACCGACCAAAGAAGCTTTGAGGCGCCAGGCTCACGGGTTCTGCGCAGGGAATCTGGGAGCGCTCGTTGTTGTGCAAAGACACTTAGATCTTGTCTCCTCCACAGATCCCTGAATTCTAAAACCCCCCATGAAATAGCTAAACCAAGGTGATCTCCCGAAAGGCCCTAAACCCTAAACCCTAACCCTAAACCCTAAACCCTAAACCCTAAACCCTGAACCCTGAACCCCAAACCCCAAACCCCAAACCCTAAACCCTAAACCCTAAACCCTAAACCCTAAACCCTAAACCCTAAACCTTAGCCGAAAGAGGAGGAAGAAGACGTTCCTAGGTTCCCGCCCGAGAACCCTGGTACGGAACAAAAGTTTCACTGGGAAATCAACTGGGAGGCGCTTGCACTCTCAACTTGCAGCCGCAAAGTTCAAGTTGCAGGCTTTTGCCCCAACCCAGAAAATGGATGACTAGAGTCATAGCAAATGAGTACATACACATTGATGTATGTATATCTGTATATGTATGTATGAGAGTTTCACTCTATGTTTATTTGTAAATGTAATACGAATATAAATATAAACACAAATGTAAATATAGATATCGATATAGATATATAAATATAATTGTAAATATAAATGTAAATGTAAAATGTAAAATGTAAAATGTAAATGTACATGTAAGTGTAAATATAAATATGCATAAATAGTTTAAATAAATCAATATATATATATATATATACATAGATATAGATATACATGCTACCCCCCTCCAAAGACCTGTATGTTTCCATGGTTTGGCGATGTGAAGCTGGGGATTTGCATGGGGGATCCCTCAATCCCAAAGAGGAGGTTTAGCAGCCCTCACGGGGCTACAACCCTCTTCGCTGAGTCCTAAACGCGCATAGGATGGAAACCCTGAACCCTAAACCCTAAACCCTAAACCCTAAACCCTAAACCCTAAACCCTAAACCCCAAACCCTAAACCCTAAACCCTGAACCCTCAACCCTAAACCTAAACCCCAAACCCTAAACCCTAAGGCAGAGGTTTAGAGCCCCGAATCGGAAAATCAGGGTGGTCATTTCTGCCATGAATAACTTTGCAGAATCGTTCTAGGAGTCGTCCCACTTTTGCCCCTATTCGTGAGGAATAGGATCCAGGGAATATCGCTTAAGGAAAGAGATGAAGGGCCATGTAGGGAGCAAGATTTTGAGAGAAGATCTGGGGAACAAGGTTTTAGGATGAAGGGAATGTGGTTTTAGGGACCCCACTCTTTAGGATTTTTAGCGCAAAGGATTTAGGGTTCCGGGCTCACTTTTTCAGCTCATTAGGAATGAAGGAGCCCCGCCTTCAGGCTTGTGCAATAGGATAGGGTTTAGGGTTTAGGGTTTAGGGCTTAGGGCTTAGGGCTTAGGGCTTAGGGTTTAGGGTTTTTAGAAATTGTGTAGGGTTTGGGTCCCAATAAAGTTTTGACCGAAACGTTTTGGCCGAACCGTTTTGACCGAAAGTTTTGACCGAAACGTTTTGACCGAGTTTTTTTTGGGAACTATGTTTTTCATTTTTGGGAGGGGGAAGGGGGGGGGGAGGAGGCAGGGAGGGAGGAGGCAGGGAGGCAGGGAGGGGGGGGGCGGGGGGGGGGGGGGGGGCCGTGGGGGGGGTGTGGGGGGGGGGAAGCGCGAAAGGGTTGGACCGGTTGGGGCCTCTGGGTCCCCCTTTATTGTATGAATACCTATCTAAACTTTTTTTGACGAAAATTTTGACCGAAAGTTTTGACCGAAACGTTTGACCGATTTTTTTGTTTTGTGGAACTATGTCCTTTCATTTTGGGAGGGGGGGTGGATTGGGAGGGGGTGGGGAGGAGGCAGGGAGGCGGCGGGTAGGGGGGAGGGGTGGGGGCGGGGGTGGCGAGGGGCTGGAACCCGGGCCTTTTTCATGCCGACCTGCTTGCCGCCCCCCTCCAAGGGCGGCGACCTTCGTACTGATGCGCCGTACGAACATGCACCCGTTTTTGCTATTTTGGCTTTTTCAGGACGGCCTTTGCCTCTTTTTGGCTATTTCTGAGCGCCTGCCTGAGGGAAAAATGCTGCCTGTTTTTCTGGCAGGGCGCCGGCGTCCGGGCTTTTGCCTCTCTTTTTTTGTTATTTCGAGTTTCCTATCTAAAGGGGAAAATGTTGCCCGTTTATCTGGCCGCACAATGCCGAGTCGCCCTACGATGGAAGGACTGCTGTATTAAGCGATCAGCGCAATGATATACCATGTACCAAGAGATTCGCAAACCTGCACACTCCTGCAGGAAAAAGCAAAGGACCCCTTTGAAGGAAATCTGTGCCCTCCTGCGGCACCGCCTGGAGCGGCGTCTAAAGAAGAAGGCTCCAAAGTGGTGGCAGGCCAGACAAACCGATTTGAAGCTTTGCTTTGTCCATATTGATTGCCTGGAGGTGCCGGCAGAAGACTTTCGAAGGGCTGTGAACACCAGGGGCCCGAACACCGGTCCGCAAACCTGGCTGTCGGTCCTGCATAGTCCTCTCCCGTAGTTAGTGTTTCACGCAGGCAAGCGTACGGAACGACTCCTTTGCTCAAGCCTGATAAGAAGAAAAGCCTCGCAGCACAAACGCAACTCTAATGATTGAGCTTGTTCGCTTTTTTGAATTAGGTTTGCTTGCTGCCGTAACATGCAGAACCATACCAATCATGCCAAGAAAAAACTGCTCTGGCACAAGCGAAAGTTTTCAGCGATAGTTTTGTGGGAAAGTTATGAGGGAAAGTTTTGTTTTGGCTTTATATTTAATATTGCGGGAGCAGGGCCTTTCCTCCTGTGGGTAGAACGAACATTTTGTTTAGAATCTATTCGTGTTTGTTGGGGCAGGGGGGAGGGGGCGGGGGGTCGTCTGGGGGGGGGGGAAGCTGGCGGGAGGGGAGGCGGCGAATGGCAGAATCGCCAATTCTTGTTTCTTTGCAGACAAGAGCAAAACGCACATAAACGTCACCGATGTTCGTTTTGGATTTGGTCAGATTCATTTCTTTGCGGACAAAAGCACAACGCACATAGACGTCACCGGTGTGCGTTTTGGATTTGGCCAGATTTCCAAACTTCTAAACCAAACCAATTCTTGTTTCTTTGCAGACAAGAAAAAACGCACATAAACGACGCCACCGATGTGTGTTTTGGATTTGGCCAGATTTCAAAACTTCTAAACCAAACCAATTCTTTGCAGACAAGAGCAAAACGCACAAAGACGTCACCGATGTGCGTTTTGGATTTGGCCAGATTTCTAAACTTCTAAACCAAACCAATTCTTGTTTCTTTGCAGACAAGAGCAAAGCGCACATCGACGTCACCGATGTGCGTTTTGGATTTGGCCAGATTTCTAAACTTCTAATCGGGGTCCTCCTGGTGGCTTTTGGGGCCCTTTTGGGCCCTTTTGGGGCATCCTCCTGGCGCCTTTGGGGAAATTGTATAGGGTTTGGGTTTTGACCGAAAGTTTTGAGCGAAAGTTTTGACCGACGCTTTTTTTTTGGAATCACCTTTTTGGTTTCTGGTGCCCTCCTGGGCCCTTTAGGGGCTTTCATGGTGCCCTTTTGTGTGAGTCTCGTTTAGGGGCCTGCCGGCCCTTCTGGTGCCTCCCTGGAACCGGGCCTATGCATCTTTTTGGCTGTTTCTGGGTGTCTGCCCAAGCAGGAAATCCTGCCCGTTTTTCTGGCAGGGCGCTGGAGCCCGGGCCTTTGCGTTTGTTTGGCTGTTTCTGGGCGCTTGCCCAAGGGGGAGATGCTGTCCGTTTTTCTGGCAGAGCGTTTGCGCCCGGGTCTTTGCCATTTTTTGGCTGTTTCTGGGTGCCTGCCCAAGGTTAAAATGCTGCGCGGAAATTGTATAGGGTTTGGGTCCCAAAAAGTTTTGAGCGAAAGTTATAACAGCGAACACACACGACAGGAGTCGCTTGTTTGTGCAGGGACATCTTGCACCACATGTCGCAAAAATTGCTGCGCCCATAGTGGGAACACTGCGCTCTCTGAATACGCAGGTGGCCACAACTGATGTGTAGGGCGTAGGGTCTTCAGTCGGAAGGCGTGAAAAACGCAGTTTGAGCGCTTTTGCGTTTGCCGGAGCAGCTCTGCAGTCCTCCACCCGCTGGATCAGCCGTCCTCAAGGCGTGTGCGATTGTTACTGATGCTACTGATGAGGAGGGCAACGACATCGATGATGATGATGATGATGACGACACAAGCGCTGAGGATCTGACCCATCTTCATCATGCGTGCCAGCTTCAGAAGACGCATCAAGCGCACCATTCGAATCTGTGTCCAGATGCACAGCTGCCAACCCGCAAACTCAAGACAACAGCGTTCGTGAAAGCGTGTGTGTCCCACCATCTTCAGAACACGGGCTTCACCGCCGCTTCCAGTCATGGCCTTGGCGCCATGTACCATAGACTGCATAAAGAGTGGGCCGCTGGCAACAGAACACGACTGCAACATATGGCATGCATGATGTCATCCACACGAGGTGGGCGTACTGCATACCTCACCAGCAGCCATATTTCGCGCGTGGCAAGCCACACTGCACTACCGCAGCATACCACAGCAACAACTGCAGGAGTCACTGCGTGTGTCTTTGAGGTTTGATAAGGCTTGCCTCCGCACAGCGGTCCACTGGAAATGTAGACAGAAAGTCGGGAGTGAACGACGTCCTCGTCATGTCACTGCCGTGAGAATGCACTGCTGCGCGCCAGAATAACACGAATGCCAACCGGTCCTCATGTATCGACCAGCTATATGCCATCCGACCTGACTGGAGTCAAAATCTTGGGCGTGCGCCTTGTTTGCGTCGAAGTGCCGATTT